TTGCAACCCAAAATCTCAAAATTTTGTCCGGCACGGGGGCTAGCATTTTAGGGTATAAACCGGGGTCCTGGGTCAGCTGCCCATGATAAAATTAAATGGGAACTGGACTGCGTAGAAGAAAACAAAGGTAGATTCGGAAGAACATGTAGAGACGAAATCACCATATCTGCTTAGGATACGAGTAACGATGACTGGGGTTTCTTCGGATAGTGACAAACGTGAATGGCAATCCGATACAAGGCATCTGCGAGGTATTATAGAATTCCGTTCCTGATGTTTGGATCCCGGCGGATGAATTCTCTAAATAAGGAAGAACGTCTCTCACGCATAAGTCTCCTGATACCGCGGGCCGTTTTCCCAGACGCTATCAGATTTCAAAGGTCATACCACCAAGCATCGGCACAATGGCAAATATACAAATAACCCTCCAATGTCACGGTGGCGACCATCGACGCCGACCACCGCCCCACTCTGATGCTCAAACTCCTCCTCTACTTCGTCCTCTTCACAGGCCTTGTCGCAGCGGAGAATGGCCTACACGCATGGCTGCGTTACGCACCGTTACCTCAAGGCCATAACCCACCCCTTCCTTTGTCAATAATTGCTCTCAGTTCCAGCACAAATAGTCCTGTCAATACCGCGGGGCAAGAGCTGCAGAAAGGTATCCAGGGAATCTTTGGCAAGCAACTCAGTGTTTTCAACACTGGGAAAGAGACCTCTTCAGCTGTTGTTGGTACCGTTTCGCAGTTTCAGAAGGCCTTTGGGAGCAGCCCCGTCAAGGACAAGCTAGAAGAGGATGGATTCTGGCTGAACGTCAAGGGTAGCACGGTACAGATTCTCGGACAAAACGAGCGTGGTGCTCTATACGGTGCTTTCGAGTACCTATCCATGCTGGCACAGGGAAATTTCTCCAATGTCGAATATGCGACAAACCCAGCTGCACCAGTTCGTTGGATAAACTCTTGTGAGTCGCCAATTTTCTGATGGGGCCTGCTAAAGCTGAGGCCGACCTCCTTTGCCAGGGGACAACATGGATGGAAGCATCACCCGTGGCTTCGGTGGCAACTCAATCTTCTTCGCAGACGGACATGTTGTATCCAACCTGACCCGTGCCTCGGAATACGCCCGACTCTTATCCTCCATCCGAATCAATGCCGCAGTTGTGAACGACGTCAATGCAAACTTCACCACTATCAACCCAGAGAATATCCAAGGGGTTGGTAGAATTGCAGACGTTTTTAGACCATATGGTATCCAGCTTGGATTGTCTCTTGACTTTGCATCTCCGATGGAACTTGGGAATCTCAGCACCTATGACCCGTTGGATCCTGGGGTCATTGTGTTCTGGGATGATATCACCAAGCAAATCTATGACAGAATCCCAGATTTCGCAGGGTATCTGGTCAAGGCAGACAGTGAAGGTAAATGGCTCACTGTTCCACCCAGTGTTATGCTCATGTCCATGGCGATTAGGCACTCCCGGTCCCTTGGTATACAACCGTACTCTCGCAGACGGTGCAAACCTCTTCGCCAAAGCTATCAAGCCATTCGGCGGCATAGTCATGTATCGCGCCTTCGTATACAACCTACTCAATGAAAGCGACTGGACAGCCGACAGAGCCAATGCCGCCGTCGACTACTTCCAACCTCTAGACGGTCAATTCGATGACAACGTCATCGTTCAGATCAAATATGGTCCTATCGATTTCCAGGTCCGAGAGCCTGCGTCGCCGCTGTTCGCCAACCTCCTTGAGACGAATACAGCTATTGAGCTGCAAGTTGCGCAGGAGTATTTGGGCCAGCAGTGCCACCTTGTGTATCTCCCACCGCTTTGGAGGACAATCTTGGATTTCGACCTCCGAGTGCAGAACCAGTCAACGTTCGTGCGGAATGTTATCACTGGTGAGCGGTTCGAGCGACCGCTTGGCGGCTCAGCAGCTGTCGTCAACGTTGGGCTCAATGATACCTGGCTGGGAAGTCATCTCGCCATGTCGAACCTATACGCGTATGGACGTCTAGCATGGGATTGGACGAGCGATTCCGAGGAGATCCTGCAAGATTGGACTCGTCTCACATTCGGTCTTGACCAGACGGTTATCGACACTATCACTCAGATGTCGATGGCTTCTTGGCCTGCATACGAGAATTATAGCGGAAACCTCGGGGAGCAGACCCTGAATGATATCCTTTATACACATTTCGGTCCTAATCCTCAGACACTGGATAATACACCTTGGGGTCAATGGACTCGGGCAGATCATACGAGCATTGGGATGGATCGTACGGTGTCGAATGGGACGGGGTTTTCAGGGCAGTACCCGCCAGAGGTGGCTGAAATGTACGAAAATCTCGATACCACACCCGACAATCTCCTCCTGTGGTTTCATCATGTCAACTATTCGCAAAAGCTTCAATCCGGAAAGACGGTCATCCAGCACTTCTACGATGCACATTACGAGGGAGCCGAGACTGCCCAGAACTTCGTTACGATGTGGCAATCATTGCAAGGAAAGATTGACGATGAACGCTTTGAGGATGTGCTGTTCAGACAGGTCTTCCAGGCTGGTCACTCGATTGTGTGGAGAGATGCTATCGTCAACTTCTACAACAATATCTCGGGCATACCCGATGATGCCGGGAGGGTAGGCCACCATCCTTTCCGCATCGAGGCAGAGAGTATGGAGTTGAGTGGGTACGAGCCATACGTTGTTAGCCCATTCGAGGCGGCGTCCAATTCGATTGCCATCGTCACAAGCACCAACAGTACAATCGGGACGGCAACAAAAGTTCTCAACTTTACCTCTGGGGTATACGACCTTGCTGTTAATTATTTCGACATGTACGGTGGCAACAGCAGTTATCAAGTCTTCGTGAACAACCAGATGGTCGGAGACTGGGTTGGGAATATTGTGGATATTGGGAAGCTCGGACATACACCATCCATATATTTGGACGGGCATTCGGCGACGAGAATCACGTTCCACCAGGTGTCTATCAAGAAGGGCGATGTACTGAAAATTGTGGGGCAGGCGAACGGCATTGAACCAGCACCGCTTGACTATGTTGCTTTGCTGCCGGCTGGTGTGATCGATTGAGGGGGAATGTAAAGAATCGTTATCATTCTCAAGTACTCATTCATGCTTTCCTCTAAATTTTCTTACTGTTTAAGAACTCGTACGATACTCGTAGTAGGATTCGGACTATCTCGGACTTTATCGTAGTTGCTTAGTCGCCTGACAGCCGTTGATAGAATGAATCTACACGTTTACCACCAACGACCGTCGCGTCTCGTGCCCGACTCGTTACATACATACGAGTACAGGCACCAGGCGACTTAATCCTACCGCTTCTTTACGGACTTCAACTCCTGGATCACGATCTACGCTGGGCCCCGCCGAATATTCGAATGGGTCAAGAACTTAACGAAAGGTGTAGCTCCTTGTTAAGCTCTGTCAGTGTTATACCGCTCCGGGGGAGCGTCGATGCGGCGAGTCGGAGCCCGCGTGGGGCGGGAAGAATCCGCGCAGTATATGCCCGCGTGGAACGCGAATCCGCTCGACAGCGCACCCCGCCCTCCCGCCCACCCATTTCCAAACGCACCCTCCACCCCCAGCGAATTGGGGGGGATTACGACGCGCACGTCGGGAGTTCCGTAGATAGACACAATTCTGGGCAGCGCAGCGACGTCAGTGCATGAGCCACCGCGTACAGCGCGCACAATGCACCTCGTCGATGTCCTTATTTGAATGTCGAATTTCTGGTCCGGACGAATGGAAGACCATGATCAGCCGCGGGATCTAGACACGTATCAGCCTCGGCACAAAATACGGTATGGGAGCGCACATACATAGACTGATCCGTCCCCAGGGATGCGTCCGAGTTCTTGCAGTGCCGCAAAGGGTGCGCAGTGGGACGCCGGGGTTGGTATGGGAGACTGAGGCGGTGGGGATCTGGCGCGAGGACGTCAGCACGCACGAGCAGAAACAAGCGGGGATAGAGTACGCGGAGCGTGGGCGCGTGCCGTAGGGATATGGGCGGCGAATTCTTGGAAGGAGCCGAGGGACGATGTGTGCGGAAGGAGGACGTCGACGAGGGTGTGGATCTGACGGGAGGGAGCGCGTGCCGCCGAATATGCGCGTGTCGGGCGGGGACACGGAGACACGCCGATAGCGCTCGAGCTGTTGTCAAAGGGTCGGCTCAAGGTCGGATACATACCTCAGACTCAGACTCAGACTCAGCAGCACCGACTCGGACTGGCCCGAGTACCGACGCCTGCGGACATTGACGAGGATGTGTCTTGCGCTCCTGAGATTCTTCTTCCGGGACACCGTATTTGGATCCCAGAATCCGGGTGCCGTCAGTCAAAGGCGCCGTACAGTGGACGGAGCGTGCACGAGAGTCTCCTGTAGGCTTGAATCCACATCCACGTTTTCGTCAGGACGATTGCAGGACGCGGACGCGCATCTGGGGACGTAGGAGCACATACCCCGCCATTTGAATCCGACGCCGGCGGCCCGGTTCTGGCATAGGTGCCCGCTTCTTGTGCTTTGAAGATGCGCCGGGAATACGAGTCGTCTACGTTGAAGCAACGATCTTCCCTTCTTCCCTTCTTCGAGTTCTCCTCCCAGGAATGGACCCGCAAGACGAATGGCGAGAGTGGAACTCGTAGTGAACGAAAGAGTCGAAGTGACCAACCCTAACCCAACCGAATCGCGATCCGATCATCTCCGCGGCCGGGATCGCCCGGCTTCGGCTTATCCAAGTTATTCAGCCGTTAAACCCAGGCCAAGCCACTGCCAATTGTAGGGCTGAAATCATAGCGGAACGCCATTGGTATTGATCTTATTCCAAGTTTTCTCCCGTCAAATTGCACTACAAAAATTGTTTGGCGGCATACTCAGTGCCACCTTGGTGCCACCGAAATAACCCCGCGTTTCGACTCACAAGAATTTCGTTCAAGGCCAACCTTCGATGGCTCAAATACTAGTTGAGATACGTATTCGGGTGTGGTGTATGGCGCACCACTGCTTCCTTTAACCGACCGGAGTCCAGTTTAAATTTGAAGCAGATGGACGGGGTTCGACTCCCCGTACCCGAATAGCACCTCCAAAAGGACCTCTTTTTCTGGTTCGAATCTCTCGAATTCAACAATCCAAACGGCTCGTTGGTCCCTGAGGGCAGCAGCTCGCGGAACCCGATTACGAGTACTTATGTAATAAGTTCTCGTTCTTTTCCAAAAGTTTACATGGCCGTTTCAGTAGCTCCATGAATTATCAGTTACGATTTTATAGTACAATGAAAATAGTGGCTGTGTTGAAGTCTTTTTTAAAGGTTTCATTACATTTTTTGTGACAAGTTAGTGGCTGTGGTACCGGCCAATGCCGAGCGTGCTGCAAACGCCCGCAGGCGTTGGTTCGAACCCGGGGATTGGATTCTTTTTCCGGTGGCCTTTTTGAAGTTTTTCCCTCCGGGCATGCGAGTAACAAGCAGCCCAATGCATATCACCTCCCTGGATCCAGTGTATACCTCCAAAAATTTCTTGCTCAAATGTCTGATCAATGATTGAACAGTGCAAATGTTCAATGCTTTTTGGTTGTTTCTTCTTCCACAGGTACAAGGGCCTCAAATTTCGACAGAAACACTGTAACAAACCTCAAGATGATTCGGAGTACAATCCAGAAACAAAATTCCATGGAAATGTTGAACTCTCAGAAACTTTCAACCTTCGTAAACCGCTAGGTGATGTGTGAGTTTCTCTCTCTGGTATCAACCAGATTTTTTCTAGGCCCCATCCTGGTTTGCAATCAAAAATTTATGGGTGGAATCCAAACCTGGATGTTCTCTGTTGCTTTGTTCCTGCTGCCAGATTTTGAATTGTGGGCCATATCCACCTACTACTGTCTTCAATACCCAGGTTCACTGAGGAGGAAAGGGCCTAGACATGGAATACTTTTCAGCCAAGTACCCAACTTGAAATGTGCCTTTGTCTGCTGCAGCCACCTATCCGACTCAATTACAAGTCGTGGAGGCCAGCACCTCCTACGTTTCCTTGGAAGTTTGTGGGAGCAACATTTGTTTACCCTGCTCACTACACCTGCAATGGAAATGGAATCCACCAAGCGTATGTTTGCCGAGGCCTCTTTCCTTTTTTGAGTGGATATTGCTGGTGAATTATGTACTTGAAAGTCCCTTGGTGTGCTGTGTGGATTTCAAAATTGAGATGTTTGGAAACTTCCCATCACATGGATATATCATTTTAAAAAAATAAGTACGAGTTTTGCCGGGCTATGCCACGGCCCACACCCCAAGTGCAGTTCAATTTTCATTCCTTGCATAATCAGTGTGATCAGAAATTCGTACACCTCGAATGAGGGTTGACATCCACACCAAATCGTCGGGTGTGGCGTACGCGCACCGCTGCTCTCCTTTCCACGGGAGTATCGAGTTTCGACGCAGCGAGATGGGGTTCGACTCCCCGCACCTGAATGGGGCGGTTTAGATAGATGTTTTTTGTTTCTTTCCATGTCCTGAAATACGGCCGACCAGCTAGCTCCCCATATGCATCATTTCAATGCTTCCCCAAAGAATCTTTGTTTCTGCGCACCCGGTGAAACGAGCAAGAGATTCAATGTGTTGACCTTAGGATGAACGTTTCATTTCCTCACGACAAGAGGGGCAAATTATTAAACTCGAACTCATGTTGATATTAACACCAGGGAATCGGGTGTGGTGTACGGGGAACCACTGCTTTCTTTTAGACGAGTCTGAATCCCGTTTAAATTTGAAGCAGATGGACGGGGTTCAATTCCCCGCACCCGAATGGTGCTCTGGGACAGTGTTTGCCTTCAAACTCCTGGAGTTCGACGATCCCAATGCCCACCCACATTCATGAATAGACCTGTTGTTTATCTCTGAGGGCAGCAGATCATCTGAGCAGCCCGGTGCACACAGATTTTCTCCCCTTGTTGCACCGTTGTAAATAAGAAATTCATCCGATTCGAATGAAAGTTGACATCCAAGGGAATCATCGGGCGGTGTGGTGTACGGCGCACCGCTGCTCACCACGACAAGAGGGTCAATTACTCAACTCGAATTCATGTTGATAGAAACACCAGGGAATCCGGTGTGGTGTATGGTGCACCACTGCTCATCCTGGGCCGCATTTTCGATATAACGTATTTGCGCCGGTGAGACGGGGTTCGAATCCCCACACCCAAATAGGAGTCTCCTTCCTCCCATCTTTTTGTCCCGAGTTCCTCGGCCCAGCACAGCAAGCATTCGGTCAAGCAAGGTCAGTACTGCATTGTACGATTGCAACAGGCCATTTTCCCGCATGATTATTGCAATGCCCCCTCCCGATACCCGTGTTCTCGCTCCCAGGCTGTTAACTATCCACATGTTTCGAACCGAATATCACGCACTTCCCGACTTTTTGCCCATCCTCGTGGCATTAATGTAGTCTCGACACAGGAGCGTGGATTATGTCACACCATCCCTTTGCGTGTCCGATTTTCCAACTGGTCAAAAAACATCTACCATTCGCAAGATGGAGGTCAATCTCGGCCGGCAAGGTATTGATGTGGAATGGTTGACGCGGAAACACTCGAGGGACAAATACGAGGAATCCAAAAGCCAGTATCTTTAGGGCTTTATCGTACGTACCCCGCCCTCTTTTTTCCGTTTATAATGATGCATTACAGCCGATGACAGAACCGAACATTTCCAATCGAGATCTTTTGCGACGAGGGCACATATGCGATACTAATTATACCCTATGCTCAGAAATATGCATGTACACTTCATTCACGACATCTTTTGCGAGTTGAGCGATTATTTGAGACTGGGTGGCTGGCCACCTTAGCGCTTTTGACGTCGAGCCCCCACACAGAGTGAGGACGATATAGGTATATGGGGTCTTAGACAAAGCCATGCATCCTAGGACGGATATGAGATATTTTGTGCAAATTTACATGACGATTTCATGCTTCACTGAGTTTATTTTTCGGGGGGTATCCCAAAAGGGAATAAACGGGGTAGCTGGCCATCCCACTATATTTCTCGTTCGCACTCATACTGGTCACCCCGGCACATCTCAAATCGTCCAATGAATACAACTGAATTATCCCACACACTCAAACTGTACATCCGAGGCATGCGAAGACCCTAAATATTTCCTTTCAAGCCAAGGAGGATGGGTGGAATTGCTGTGTAGACTGAATGGCGCGTGCTACAAGGAACAGAACGTATTGGTGACCCAAATTAGGGCCCAGAAAGATAAATAGCATGCATTAAGACATACCTCACCATAAAACATGTGCCCCACATACCAAGAATCCCTCGAACAAAATCCATCTTTTCGGACGAATGAAATTGGGTGGTTTTGGGTAGTGTCCCGCCATGACTGCGAAGGCGCCGGGTTAAAAGTCGAATGCAGTTGTGATAACACAGGTCAATTCAATTCAATTCAATAATCATTTTAGAGTGCGCGCGGGCCCCTTGGGGCCCATGTTGCACTATATGTAGGTACATGGAATGAAACTAGCTGGCCGTATGGGAGTGAAGTGGGTGGGGGAGGGACGACGGCAGATGGAGTATGCTATGAGGTGCTAATGGGGGTGGGGGATAAGATATTGTGCTATGAGTGGTGTCTTTATAAGTAACAGGTGGATTGAGAGAGCGGGGAGAGAGTAAGAGATGAGATAGAGTAAGAAAAGGGGATAAGAAAAGAACGGTGTTCTAAAGCGCGTAGCACGGTAGGCGGCCGGTGTCTCGCACGAAGGCGAGGACGGGCTTGGGGTCGGTTTTGACCCCAATGAGAAGGCGGAGGGAGAGGTGGGCAGTGCCGACTCGGTGGATGAGCTCGAGACGCTGACGGCGGTACTTGGGGCAGGTGAGGACGAAGTGGGAGACCGTTTCGGGAACGCCGCAAAGGGAGCAATCCGGTGAGGGGGCAAGGTGGAAGCGGTGGAGGAAGGCGTTGAGGCCGATGTGCGTGGTCCTCAGCTGTGTCAGCACGCTGCATGATAACACAGGTCAAATGGTCGTGAATATAACTGTCAAGTTCTAGGTCGATAGCAGACACCTGTGGTTCCCTATAGAGGTGGCCGGATTGCACCACTCGAGATCAGGCCGTGATGCTCTTGGAGGGTCCCGGAGGTGAAAGGTGGTCATTTTCATGTATTGTGTGGCAAGGGGTGATAGGCCAGAACCACGGGATAGGATCGAGCACCCAAACTTCTGAATTGGTGAGGAATTGGTGGAGAACGAGCGGGAGGAATGCGCGAAGGGCTGTTCGGAGATAAGAAATCAAGTTCACAGCCCGCCATCTCGATCAAGAACTTCGCACAACTTTTAATGGCCATCTCGCTTCACCTCAAACTGAATATACTGTACTATTTTGACCCAGTATTTAGTCGCTGGTCACAGCACTCACGGAATCAAATGCTTTTTTTACGGTCACAGGTCACCAAATACTAGGCCGTTTTGTAAATTTCCAGGGGTAAAAAGAAAAAAAAATCAAAAAAAAAAAAAAAAAATCACCTAGCACGTTCGATATTGTTGTCTGTTCCACCGAGATTTGGGTTAAATTTAAGTTGGAAATCAGTGAAAGCTCATGAAAATCACCCCTCAGAAGGACCGGCAATAGTATTAATCTGAGCTGAACAATTCAACCAATGAACACTTGAAATTGTGGTCACAGGTCCCAGTGGCTGCCGAATTGATGGCAAACAAATACTTATGGTCACTGGTCATTCAGAAGGCCCTCCGGGCACCCCTGGTACCTCAGGCTGACACCGACTCAGTAGATGATGTGGGACTAACATGCTGTCTGCCTGGTTCATGACTGCACTGTGGGAGATCAGTGCAAGAGAATTTTCAATTGGCTGTAGGATAAAAAGGATGAGGACCTGCCTCGTACACGATGCCACGAGTAAATCCCCAAAGCAAGGAGACACATAAGAGCGGCACAAACCAATATATTCAAAGATACATAACATGTATTTGTCAGTAACCGTGAGACGATGACCGTAGCAACATAGTAGATAGTCAGAATTTGGGCCAACACGGGAGGCTTAGTTACACACGGTGTTGGGAAATAACCTGAAGGTCCCAATTGGTCCCTGAATGCTGTTCCATGCAATCACCGCTGTCCAAGAAAATCCATTGTGTGGTCCCCGGATATTTATGCAGACCGATTTAAGTTGACCACATTTGAAGGGTGATTCAGGCGGACTCGGAGGTTTGCTACTTAGATGAATCGAGCCGGTTCAATAACACCAGTCCTATAAAAATTGATGAGAACGAATACAACATCCAGGCAAAGAAACAGCAACTCTCGGGTATAACAATGTCCTTGATGAGCACATACGGGACTTGCACATTGTTGAGAGCTGGCTCCACGTTACGCGCAGGATTGGAGCATTGGTGCAATGGGAACTATGATTAGGGCAATAGGATAAGAACTAAACATGCAGCCCAGTCTATTTCTATGTTAGCCACAAATTTTACTCCAGTTGATGGTACAATCACTTCAAGGTGAGCATTGGACAATGTAACATGAAAGTCTTGCTATGTAGGCAGGTATTCCAGAGGCGAGAACAATTTTAGATTTGGGAGTGTGTCAGAGGTTGGAGGTAAGAGTGATGCATATTAACGTAGACTAAAAGTGAATGCAATTAGATAACTTGGTTCCGCAGGTGCACTGTGGGTTGAACCATCAAATGGCAGCCGGCTAATGCATCGTAACCTTGGCTCTTGACCAGATGCACAGTATAGCACCGGCAGGCAGAATGTTATTGTTCCAATCACTGCTTGACAAGGTCTGTGTGAATCAGAGAGACCTGTATGAACATAGTAAGTACAAGCTACGTAAATAGTAAGTATCTGTTGGAGATAAATTCCACGAGAACTCGGACCGGTGCTACCGGTTCACGACTTGGTGCCTGTGTGAAGACTTACTGAGTGGAGTGATATCCGTGGAGGTCGCTGGGCATGTATCGTGGTCGTTGGTATAGTGCTGTCTAGCTTCCGTAAGCTGTAGATGCAAAACATGTAATCAGCACGTTGCAGGGAATTGAAGTTCGCTGAAAGAGAGGTGTGATTTCATGGATTCTGTTGCCTGGAGTCAGTTTCGGTGATCGACAAGGTCTAGACCCAAGGTCTTTGATCTCCTTTGCATTTGACTTTTCGGACCCTCATTGCCTGGGGTTAGGTTTAACGGACAGCCACTGTTGTCGTTTTTGTGAGTCTAGACCCAAGGTCGGAATTTGACCTTTTGGACCCTCGTCGCCCAGGGTTAGGTTTAACGGACAGCCACTGTTGTCTCTGTTTACTCGATCTAGACCGATGGTCTTTGATTTCACTCGTTGACTACGGTTAGGTCTACAGTAAAGCCACAGTTGACTGTGTTTACTCGGTCTAGACCCATGGTCTTTGATTTGCTTGCCATTTGGCCTCTCGAGCCGTTGCCTCTGCTGCGTTGGTCAAACCAGAATAGCGCAACGGCAAGCCGCAAAGCGGCCCCCAATGTATTTATGGTGCCGAGCACGTGGGCTACCTACTCTACATATGATACAAGTAGCCAAGAACAAATTGTTGCCAGAAAAGAAATAGGGAGTGGTGGGAGGGTGAAAAGAGAGTTGAGAGTGGAGCTCGACAGATGGCAGGGAGGTGCGGGGCTCGTGGTGGACGGAAGAGCGAGGCTCGTTGCCAAGCAATCCGGAATTGAGTTTTCCCTCCTGACTTAGCCTCTGCTACAACTGTAGCACCGAGTCAGGAACTCAATGCCGAACTACCGGAGATTGATGGATGAGCGGAGCT